CCTTAAATGGAGAAAATAATTCCTTAAATGGAGATTCAAAAAAAATAGCGGATTTATCTACGATTAAATTTGATAAATTCGAGTTGGACACTTCAATCCACAGATATTTTTCTCAATGGGAAGCCAGTTTTCGGTTAAAAAACGTAAGCCCATCTGAATGTCAATATAAAGATACATTTTTAACATTTTTTGGCAATAAGAATATTGGACCGTTTTTGTTATCCTGATTCGATCGAAACTTTATCTTTTAAGGAAATTAAGTCAATATGTTTTAAACTATTTAAACCGACGTCAACAGCTTTTGCTTCTAGATTTGATTTCGTTAGATTACGGAGAACAACTGAAACCATAACTGAATTTGCAGATAAAATTAGAACAATTGGCAAGCGTTGTCATTATCTTAATGATATTGACGAGCGTTTACGTGATCAGTTTATGGTTGGCATGGAAACCGGGATTGGAAAGAGATCTTAGAGCTCTATATCCCGACGGTCTTGATAGAGATAATAATGTACTGACTTTTCAATTTATTCTTGATCTGGCATTAGCTTCTGAGCGAGCAGATAAAGAAATGGCAAATAAAAATATGCCTGTTATTAATAAGATAAATGATAATAAAAAAAGAAATGATAATGATAATAATTATAAACATCTAATTAAAACGACTACTACATTTGATAATAAATACAAATATAATAATGATAAAGATTATAATAAACTTAAATGTTATAAATGTGGTTTTATTCATAACCGAGAAGTGAGATGTCCAGCTACAAATGCGGCATGTAATAAATGTAAAAAAATTGGTTATTTTGCAGTTTGCTGTAAATCAAAGAATTTAAATTATATAAGAGTGTCATCAAGTGATTCTATTCATAATATTTGGAAGATTCAACAAAATCGAGAGAATCGAGCAAAACTAACTGCAGAGATAAATGGGTTAGATGTTGAATTTGATTTTGACACTGGTGCACAAGCGTCATTGATAGGAATTGATATATGGACAAATATTGGGCTACCAAAAATTAGGCCAACCAGTCCATTGACTGCATATGGTGATCATCCGTTAAACGTTAAGGGCGAGACCCAAGTCAATGTTAGGATTGGATCACAGACAAGGACTCTACCAGTGGTAATAATGAATACAACTGGGGTGCCTCTTTTCGGATTACCATGGATTATAGCATTCAATTTAGAAATGCCTCGTCAGGTTATGATTAAACAAGTACGCAATTTGGTCAACAATATTGAAAAAGAAAAATGTTGCATAACACTAGATTCTAGAATTCGAGATTTGATTAATAAACATCAAGAAATTTTTGATGATAAGATGGGACATATACGTGATTTTGCAGTGCGAATACATTTAAAGGATACCGCTGTACCAAGATCGTTTCCAGCCCGTAGGGTACCATTTCCACTTCGCAAAGCAATTGAAATGGAATTAGACCGATTAGTAGCTGCAGGAATTATCGAAAAGATTGATTCGACTATAACCAGGGTACAGTGGTCAACGCCAACCGTAAATGTACGCAAGAGTAATGGCGATATTCGAATTTGTGCTGATTTCAAAGTTACACTCAATCCGTGTTTATTATATGACCATCATGTTATTCCTACCTTAGATGATTTGTTAGAGAAAATCCAAGGTGGTGATAAATTTACCGTGATAGATCTGAAAGATGCGTATTTACAGATGGAAGTAGAATCGGAATCCCAGGAACTACTAACGATAGTGACTCATAAGGGCTATTTCCGTTACCGACGATTGCCCTTTGGATTGGCAAGTGCACCAACTATATTTCAAAGATATATGGATGAGTTACTAAAAGATTGCCAAATGACTGGTGTCTATTTAGGTGACGTAATTATTTCTGGTCAAAATGATGAGGAGAACTTAAATAATTTGCGAATAGTGTTAGACAGATTACATGCAGCAGGTCTTAAGGCGAAATTAACAAAAGTGAGATTTTTACAAAAATCGGTTTCATTTTTAGGGGTGATAATTGATAAATTCGGTATACATCCTAACCCGGAAAAGGTGAAGGCTATCCGAAATGCACCAAAACCTAAAAATATACAACAACTTAGATCTTTCCTAGGACTAGTTAATTATCATGAACGTTTTATTCGCAATCTACATTCTAAAGCGGCTCTATTACATAGATTAACTAGCGTGAAAGTACCTTGGCAGTGGTCGAAAGATGAACAAAATTCCTTCGATGAGGTTAAGAAATTATTGTCATCCGAAGAAACGTTAATTCCTTATAACGCGCAGTTGCCTATAATTTTGAAATGCGACGCATCTGATTCAGGATTAGGGGCTGTGTTGTTACATCAATTAGTAGACGGAAGAACAAAACCTATTTCGTTCGCGTCACGTACTTTATTAGAATCAGAGAAACACTACGCTCCGATTGATAAAGAAGCTCGAGCACTTTTATTTGGTATTGAAAAATTTCATTCATTTATTTATGGTAGAAAATTTTTACTTCGAACTGATCATAAACCATTAGAGCGATTATTTGGGGAGAAACGCGATTTACCTAAAATTTCTAATAATCGTTTGACACGTTGGGCCTGGAAGATGGCTTCTTATGATTTTACAATAGAATATAGACCTGGTAATAAAAATGTAATCGCCGACGCATTATCAAGGCTTCCGATATTAGACACGGAAGAGAATCAAGATTCTAAACATGCTTTGGATATTCGAAGTATAAATTTGGATGATATTCAATTGTCAGAAAATATTCTGCGAAAAGAGTCGAAGCAAGATTTAATATTAAAAAAAGTAGCAATACATATTCAGCAAAGTTGGCGAAACTCTGATCGTCATAAAGATAAAGAAATAGTCAATTTTTATAATCGACGGGAAGAGCTTTCTGTCGATCGTGATATTATAGAATGGAATGGGAGATTGGTTATTCCTAATAAATTAAGAAATGCAGTATTAGGAATGATTCACCGGGGACATCCTGGGGAAAATGTAATGAAATCTATTTTTAGATTGTATTGCTGGTGGCCCAGATGTGATGTTGATATAGAAAATTTTATCAAAATATGTTCTGGATGCCAGAAAAATAGACCTAGTATTCAAGAAGTACCTCTATATTCTTGGACTGTTCGGAAGGAATCTTGGGAGCGAATCCATATTGATTTTGCTGGACCAGTAGATTCGCGATATTGGCTAATAGGTGTCGATTCCTACTCCAAATGGTTAGAAGTTGATCTAATGCAAAATACCTCTGCTGATGCTATGATAAAACGACTAAAAATATGGTTTGCTAGGTTTGGAATACCCAAGTACATTGTGTCAGACAATGGACCACAATTCTTATCTGGGGAATTCCGTAGGTATTGTGATTTAAATAACATACGTCATATACGTTCGGCACCATATCATCCAAAAACTAATGGATTAGCTGAACGTACAGTACGAACTTTGAAAGGTCGTTATTATGCGACGAGAGATTCAATTAGCGATCCCGAAGAAGCTATGACACAGGTTTTAACAACCTACCGATTGGGAGAGCATAGTTCCACAGGGAGATCTCCTGCTAAAATTATGTTTGGGAGGCAATTGAAAACAAGTCTGGATTGGGTCCGACCAAATGCCGAACACGAAATAGTAAGGGCCAATGATAAACAAAGCCTTCATCATGATTTACATTCAAAGGAAAGAGAATTTGAAATCTCACAACCTATATGGTTAAATAATGAAAATACCAATGGTTGGAGAGAGGGAGTAATTAAAGAAAGAATAGGACTTTATTCTTATATTGTTGAATCTTCCGGGAAAACATTACGGAAGCATGCAGATCAGTTAAGAAATCGTTTAGTTATCCCAAATCATGAAAGTTCTTTGGAAGTTACAGAAATGGTTATGCCAGTGAATGAAGCAAATACAAACACAAATACAAATACCACATTACGTTGTTCATCAAGAAACCGTAAACCTACAAAGAGGTTTATTGAAGAAATCTAATTTTAAAATGTTTGAAGGAAATGTAATAAATTAAAAAATATTATTTATAGATATTATATAAAAAATAGAATAGAATATTCGAAAATAAATTAATATAAATTTGATGTTAAAAATAAATTGAAATATAAATTAGTAGTCGTATTGTTTATAAATTAGTAGTTGGTATTACTACATTATATTTGTGATATAAAAATTATACGTCCTCAAAATGTCTCGTAATTTACGAAATCAGAGTCAACCCGCACCTATTATACAACACCAAGAGTTGACACCTAATAACTCCCTGGATGGACCTGCAAGCGACCCTACGATGAAAAGAAGCTATTGATTCAAGTGGTAATGCAGACTACTGATTCAAGTGGTAATGTAGGATAAGATTCCTTAAGTATGATAACCCATTGAGGAATGATCGGAATGATATAAATTAATTTGGGGGAAATATATATAATATAGTATATTATTAATATTCTAGAATGATATTAAATGATTATTATGTAAATTTGTTAGTTTCGAAATTATGAAAAATAAATGTATTTAACTTCACAATTAATAAAATATAATAATTTTTACATTTAAGATTATTATGATAATCAATTTCTAAAATGTTTGGTTTTTTAAAATATTACTCATTATTACAATTATATTCTAGTCATCAAATCAGGGGGCCTCCGTGTCATTATTAGCCTAGAGTGGTCTAGATGGCTCAGGACTTTGGAATGTATAGCATTTTCTACTTAAGAATTTTTAATATTGAATAAGGCTATTAAGAATATATGAATGTTTAACTTGTGAGAATAAAACGTAATCACAAAGGTTTGAGATACTATGAGATTAACTTTTACTAAGTATTGAGTTAGTTACAAACGTTGTGCATAGGTTTATTTACACTTTTTTTTGATTATCAAATTACAGAATAAAAAAAGAATATGGAATATTTGAGTATATATTAGTTAATTAAAAATATTATAATATATTGTATCAATAAAGTATTTCAATTTAAAAAAATAAATAAAATATTAAATAATATTACTGTATGTTCAATATAATTAAAAAGATAAAAATATTAAAATTAAATTTATTACTAAAATATAATATCTTAGTCTGACATTTTTTTTTTCGTCCAGTATATTTAAAATTTAAAAGAATGGTAACTAAACTTTTACAATTATATACATATTTAAAATTATGTAGGGCGGAGGACGTGGAAATAAAATGATAAATTATATCAACTACAGGATGAGAATTACCTTCCAGGATTCTCGATCCTTCATAGGAACCTTTAAGGCATTCGATAAGCACATGAATGTGATATTAGGTTTAATCCACATCTGGTAATTTTATATAAATATATATTTAAGGCGATTGTGAGGAATTCAGAATTATTAAAACGAAAGATGAAAATCAACCTGAGAAGGAAGAAAAGCGCACTTTAGGATTGGTTTTGCTTAGAGGAGAAAATATCGTCTCTGTTACAGTTCATGGCCCTCCTCCTCCAGAAGTTTATTTTACATTTAATATATAATAAATCATTTATTTTAGGACAGTAGGCCAAAAGTTCCTATTGCTGGTGTTGTTCCACCTGGACCTGGAATGGGTAGAGCTGCTGGCAGAGGTATTATTCCACCAATGCCGGGTGCACCACCAATGATGGGCCTTCAAGGTCCTGTGGCTGGATTAGGTGGTCCACCACCACAAATGATGATGCCACAAGCAAGAGGTTAATATTATTATCATAATATAATGTACAATTTATTTTTTAGCTGGTCCACCTCCAGGCATAGGAATGTGAATTAATTATATATTATCATTTATATTCATTTATTGTAAATTTTGTATAATTATAGTAGTACCATACTTTATGATATTAAATTAGTTAATAAAAGCAATCTATTATTTTAAATTATATATAGAATGGCCATTTAAATGATAATAAAGAATAATCTAATAAATGAGTTAATATTTTTAAATTTGATTCTTTTCAAGGCTCAAGCATGTTGAGCAAAATTTGTTTAAAATGAGTTTTGTGTTATAAAAAGTATAATAAAGATATGCATGAATCTATTCTTTCAAATTTTCCTTAAAATACAAGTTTTTATACTTGGTAAACATAATAAATTAATTGTGAGTGGAGAATAGAATTCTGTAAATAGCAAAATGTATAGGCCTGTTCTAAATTTAGATTTTGCTCAGACTGACTGGTCCAAATTTATATTGACTGGCTTCAATTTTTTTACTAAGGTTTCCTGCCCCTCTCCCCATCATTTTTTAAATTCAGAAATATTATGAAAAAATGATCGAGGATGTTGAGGTTTTATGATTTATTTATAGCATTAGAGACAGAATATAGGAAAAATAAACTTCATTTACGAATTAATCAACATAGTAGAGGTCATTTAATCATTAAAATTATAAACAAAATGAAAAATGTTTTTTAAACAAAATTAGTATATAGAATAATTTTTTTCTATTAAGTATACTGGTCATCTATATTTTGCCCAGTGTGGCCTGTATTTTTTTGTTTTATCTGGTCCAAATAAAAAGATTTCAAGGCTTGTCTGAGCATTGCAGATCTCTTATGAAAAATTGTAGCATTATATACTTATATTTTCATTACAGCTTTATTATCATTTAGATTAAAAATTATAATGGGCATAAAATCATTCATCATCTGACATTCCATTTCATATTTCCTTATCATTTTTTTAAATTATAAGTGTCATTACATGTCAAACTGACAAAAGAAAGCATAATTAGCTGACTATTTCAATTCTGACAAAAATTTATATAGCAATTATATGAGTTTTAGCAAAAACAAACAAAATTTCAACTTGCTAGCTTTTATATTACCCAAGATATGGAGGGTTCTAAATGTTTTAAAAACGCTATTTTTCCCCTTTTCAGATTTAAAATAGTTATTAATTAATATTGTATTAGATATATAAATGTCTAAGTAAAAGATTGATAATTGGATGAAAATTTTTTTTTGTTAAGCAGTACAGTAGAAAACTTAATTTTTTTAATGACTATTGGGCTTTAATTTTTGCTTTTTTTCCTATTTTTTAATTGTTTTATTCTTTAATAAGTTTTGTGGCAAACAGATGATACAAAAATTAGTGCAAATAATATCTAAAAATTAGAGATCGTATTATAATTTTATGCAACAAAGTTTTTCATAGTTATATATTATTCAAATCTAATTACTTGACACTGAAATTTTGGATTTGTACTCTTTCCTGCCATCAACATGAGACAATTTTAAATATCCATATTTTTTTTATTTTAAAAAGTGGAAATTATTTTTTTAAAAAAATAAAAATCTAGGTATGAGACACATTATAGGTCTGCGGGTAAAAAAATTTTCGAGAATGGGCAGTCAAATGGATGGGTTAAAAAAAATTTTGAAACTACGGGCGGGTTAATTTATACAATTGGCAGGTGGGTTTAGGAAATTTAAATTTTTTGTTCAAAAACAAACTAAAGAAAAATCATAATTAATTAAATGATTTTTTATTGTACCAATTGTTTTTTTTAAGTGAAGAAAACTTTACTAGTTTTTCGACATCTTTATCTAATTGTTCCCACCATATATAATGTCTCATATTGGATTTCATTGATGTAATACCCGGATGTCCCGTATGCAATATATGTAAAACTCTTTTTTGAAGTTAGTACGGAATGATTAATCTGCCATTCCAAAATAAAATACCGTCATCATTTTCTCATCTATTCTTGTTCTAAAAGCTTGTAATTCTGGTGCTTGATTTTGTATATTTGTACCATTTATTAATATTTTTACATTTCATAATTCGATCTTTTGGGGTTTCCTCTTAAGTTCTCTTCTTGATAGAGTTAATATGTCGTAAGTTAGATTTCTTATATATTTCACTGTTTTATTTTCGATTGTTATTCTAACATCATTTCTCTATTGGGTTTCGCTATAAAGCATCTGCAATTATATTATTAATGCCATTCTTGTACATTATATCATAAACATATGCAGATCATTTAAAGCCCAACGTAATAATCTTTGGTTTATTAATGAGCTTAAATCTCTGCTATTACCATATATCTTTATTAAAGGTTTGTGGTCAGCTCGTATTTTAAATTTTCGTCCATACAAATAGTTATGAAATTTTTCTACGCCGTTTATTATTGCTTTGTCTATTGTAGAATAATTCTTTTCAGCATCTTTTAAAGTTCTTGAGGTGTGAGCTATTGGAAATTCATTACCATTATCATATGCATGAGTACAGCTCCAAATCCTTGGATGCATCTGTTTCTAATATTAACTCGAAGTCCAGTTAATAAAACTATAGTATTTTGTTCTATTACTATTCCGAATAGCATAAAAATGATTACAAAAATAGCACGGTATTTTATTTTGGAATGGCAGATTAATCATTCCGTACTCACTTCAAAAAAGAGTTTTACGTATATTACATACCGGACATCCGCATTTCACTTGAGGAATAGGATATACTTCCGGATAACCTACTGTTGCATGTGCGCTATTATATATTTAAATACTTAAATAATTTATATTTAAAATTCAGTTAAACTATTATATATTTAAATAATTTATATTTAAAGTTCAGTGAAATTTATTTGTATATCTCAAGGCAACAATATATATATATAAATTAATATATATTTTCATTTTGTTATTACTTGTTTTTCTTTCATGATAATAACTTGTTTTTTTCTGATTTTTAAAATAAATTATAAAATATATTGGAATTCCTCCGTAACTTATTTAATACAATCACACACTTTATTCTATTCTATTCGTATTTTTATATTATTCATTATGGTGGAGGATAGGGGCATCGATCCCCTTACCTCTATATATATTTTCATTTTGTTATTACTTGTTTTTCTTTCATGATAATAACTTGTTTTTTTTCTGATTTTTAAAATAAATTATAAAAATATATTGGAATTCCTCCGTAACTTATTTAATACAATAACACACTTTATTCTATTCTATTCGTATTTTTATATTATTCATTATGGTGGAGGATAGGAATGATGTAAAGATCAAGGTATTATTGAAGACGTTGGATCTGAAATTTCTTGCGGAGAATATTATAGATGAAGCTACAAAAAAATAAAAATTATTCGAAACATTGGATAAAGAGATGGCTGTGAGTATCATGGATAACATTGATAATTTATCATATCAACAAATGAAAGATTTAGTACAAAAGAAAGTTGAAAAGAACAAGATTACGCGTATTTTGGAGTTGTTCAATACAAAACCGGACAGACTTGAGTCTTCCAGAGAGTATTTCGATAGACTGAAAGGGTATGGTTCGGGGCTCAATTAATTATTAACTTGAAGGTCAATCATAATATCATTAATAAAATTAATTTTATTTCTTGGCCTTAAATTATAAGGGGTTTGTATCATCTCCGTCTTTTTGAAATTGTTGTAATTGATGTTGTTGTTGCTGCTGTTGTTGTTGCTGCTGTTGTTGTTGCTGTTGTAATTGTTGGTGTTGGCCTTAAAAGTCTGCTTGTTCTCTTTCCAAGACGAATAGCCTTGCCAATCGGTTCTATCCTCTCTTCTCCAAGAATCTTTCTCTACATATGTTTTATTATTGTTGATCTCCAACGATTGAAATTTGACAACAATGTCCTCTATAATATTAATCTCTGATTTTCTTCAATCAACCTTGTTTTTAGCTTTTCATTACGACAATTCAACATAAAATGCACCGACAAAAATTCAGGATTGAGCCCCGAACACCCTTTCAGTCTATCGAAATACTCTCTGGAAGACTCAAGTCTGTCCGGTTTTGTATTGAACAACTCCAAAATACGCGTGATCTTGTTCTTTTCAACTTTCTTTTGTACTAAATCTTTCATTTGTTGATATGATAAATTATCAATGTTATCCATGATACTCACAGCCATTTCTTTATCCAATGTTTCGAATAATTTATATTTTTTTGTAGCTTCATCTATAATATTCTCCGCAAGAAATATCAGATCCAACGTCTTCAATAATACCTTGATCTTTACATCATTCCTATCCTCCTCCATAATGAATAATATAAAAATACGAATAGAATAGAATAAAGTGTGTGATTGTATTAAATAAGTTACGGAGGAATTCCAATATATTTTTATAATTTATTTTAAAAATCAGAAAAAAACAAGTTATTATCATGAAAGAAAAACAAGTAATAACAAAATGAAAATATATATTAATTTGTATATGTATTTTGTTGCCTTGAGATATACAAATAAATTTCACTGAACTTTAAATATAAATTATTTAAGTATTTAAATATATAATAGTTTAAAATATAAATTATTTAAGTATTTAAATATATAATAGTTTAAAATATAAATTATTTAAGTATTTAAATATATAATAGCGCACATGCAACACTACTTTGGTGGAAACGACAAGAAAGAGATTTGCTAAAACTATCAAGATTAGCAAGAAAAATATTGGCAATTTCTGCAACTAGTGCTTCTTCTGAACGAGGATTTAGCATTGTTGGAAGATTTTTAGAAGAAAGAAGAACGTGTTTGAATCCATAAAATGTCGATTCATTATTATTTTTGTATTATAATTATATATAATATCAATTTTATATTTATATTTTTTTCATAAATATTCTATTTGATCAAATAAATTGTCCATAATTTAAATTGATTATTTTTTTTATTAAATTAATTTCCTAAATTATAAACTTTTTGTAGAGGTGTAATGCTGAAATATTTTTATTAGATGCTTAAAAAATTGACCATAATTAAATTTATAAGCGGGTTTGGGTTAAAAATTTTTATAAATAATGGGCGGGCGGGTAAAAAATTTTAGACAAATGGTCGGGGCGGGTGGGTATATATTTTTTTGAAAACTATGGTCGGGCGGGTTAAATTTTTTTAAAACCATAATCTATTTACCTTAATAT